TCTCACTTTAGATGAAGGTTTACAAAACAAAACAGTTTCTCATTAAACAGTACACATATTGCCCTATGACAATGGGTAAGAACTGCACTACATGTCAACACTGTCCTTACTCAACCTGGGTTCCCTATCACCAGCTTTCCTGTCCCCTTCTGCCTTCTAGTCCTTGTCCTTGGACTGCTGTGCCTCATTGGTCCTATTTTGTTTTATGGGGCTCTCCAATCGCCAGCTGAACGGTGAACCTCGGGACTGACTTCACCACTGAGCCAAAAGGGTCCCGGGGGCCATACTCTCAGGGTTTCTCCAGTCTGTCAGGCCAATAAATCTGGTCTAATTTTGAGACTTAGAATTTTGTTCTACATCCTTTTCCAGCTCTGTCCAGAACCCTCTGTTGTGATCCTGGTCAGAGCAGTCAGTGGTGGTAACCAGACACCATCTAGCTGTACTGGACTCAGTCTGGTGGAGGCCTTAGTAGCTGTGATCCATTAGTCCTCTGGACTAATCTTTTCCTTGTATCCTGTTCTCTTCATTCTCCCTTGCTCCCGAAGAGGTGAGACCAGTGGAGTCTCTTAGATGGCTGCTCACAGGCTTTTAAGACTCCAGACGCTATTCACCAAGGTAGAATGTCTTAATAAACTGTCTTATGCCAATTGAGCTAGATGTTCCCCGAGATCATCGTCCCCACAGCCCTCAGCCCTGCAATTCAGTCCCTGAGGGAGTTTGGATGTGTCTATGGAGCTTCCATGACCTTTCCTCATACAAGTTGTGCTGGCTTCCCCACTATTGTGTACTGTCTTACCCTTCACCAAACGTACCACTTATCTATTGTCTATTTAGTATTTCCCCCTCCCATCCCTCCCATCCCTCGTAACCAACAAAGATTGTTTCTTTTTGTGTGTAAACTTTTTCATGAGTTTTTACGGTAGAGGTCTCATACAGTATGTCTTTTTGTGATTGACTTATTTCACTCAGCATAATGTCCTCCAGTTTGATCCATGTTATGAGATGCTTCACAGATTCATCATTGTTCTTTATTGTTGCGTAATACTCCATTGTGTTTATATACCATAGTTTACCCATGCATCTGTGGATGGGCATCTAGGCTGTTTCCATCTTTTTGCTATTGTGAACAATGCTGTAATGAACAGGGGTGTGCATATGTCTATTCGTGTGACGGCTCTTATTCTCTAGGATATATTCCTAGGAGTGGGCTTGCTGGATCATATCGTATTTCTATTTCTAGCTTTCTAAGGAAGCGCCATATCATTTTCCAAAACGGCTGTATCATTTTGCATTCCCACCAGTTTGTTTTTAGATTTTAACTTCTTTTATGTCTTATAAACATGTTTTTTTTAATCTTCTCCCTCTTCCCCCCTTGCCCAGGTTGTCTACTAATTCTCACTCATGGTGTATTGTTTACTGAGATAATCTTTATTGGTTTTTTTTTTTTTTTTGGTAGTAGTGGTGGGAGAATTTCATGTTGTCTGCATGATATTTGCACATGTCCCTCCACAGCAGTCTCACGGATAACTGATCCAACACCAATTTTTATGTAATTTCTCATCTGGGAGCAGGTAGGGACTGGTGATGGTATTTTCCAGACCCTACAGAAGTGTAAATTTAGGTTCTCAAATTCATGTGAGGTGTGGGATCAGGGTTTAGAATGGACAAGTCTCCCAACCCAAGCCCAGGCAGACAAACTGTGTTTTCTCCTTTGGCCATCTGGGTGGGTGGGGCTGTTGCTCTTTCAGGGTCCCAGCTTCAACTAGGGGTCTGAGTTCCAGCTTCCTGCATGGGGCCACGGTCTTGTCTCCTATTGTATTAAAACTCGAGTTTTAAAGTCATATTTCCTTTTTTCCCTGCTCACTTTAGTAACTGCATCAACTGTTTTGCCTTCTGCTCTAGCTCTCAATTCCTTTGTGTCTTTTGTGTCCCTTTCTTGGAAGCTCAGCTATGTATTAAAAAACAAAAATACGCTTTAAAAATACTTTATTCACTATTTTTAGATATTTGTCTCAGGCCATTTTAGTCTGCATCAAGCCATCTCTTCTAAACATAATGCCCTTCCATTCCTTGTCTGCCTAGCAAAATCCTGCTAATCTGCTAATGTTTAACAGCCCAGCTCTGTTTTCAAGTTTTGTCCCAGCTTGCCAAGAACAATTTAGAGCAGTTCTTATTGCATTGTTTTTCCCCCCTTTACTGGAGTATGAACTTTTTGAGTATAAAGGATATATCTTGTTCATCTTTCCATCCTCAACTCCTGCCACAGTGCTCATCATAAAGTAGGTACACAATAAATGTTTATTAAACTGAAAATACCTCCCTGCATGAATACTGGATCTAAAATCTGAAAAACATGGTTTAAAATCAGGGTACTATCACCCACTCACTAAACTTATAGGATTATTTTTAGGACTATGATAATGTGGAAGCACATGATTTATGATGAGCAACCTAACATGTCTGTTTTTAAATAACTTTAGATTCAGTTTCCTCATTGTGGCAAACTGACTTTTTTCAGAGATGGCTGCAACAGTATCTCCCATTCCACATGCTCTTTTGCAGTGACCTTGCCATTCTCCTATCAGGAAGTAGCATCTCTCTTGCCACCCCCTTGGATCTGGGCAATCCCTGCAACCACTCTGATCAACAGAATACAGTGGAAGTGATGTGTGCCAGTTCTAGATGACACTTTTAAATGGCCTAGCAGCTTCTGCTTCCTGCCTCTTGGAACACAGCCACCATGCTGTACAAAGCCCAAGACACGTGGACAGGCCATGTCTAGGCACACTTTAGTTGACCGACTAGACTGAGCTCCTAGGGAGCAGCCATTATCAACTGCTAGCCAGGTGTCATGGATTGAATTATGTCCCCCCGAAAATGTGTGTATCAGTTTGGCTGGGCCATGATTCCCAGTATTGTGTGGTTGTCCTTCATTTTGTAATGTAATTTTATGTTAAAGAAGATTAGGGTGGGATTGTAATGCAACACCATTACTAAAGTCACATCCCTGATCCAATGTAAAGGGAGTTTCCCTGGGGTGTGGCCTGCACCACCTTTTATCTTACAAGAGATAAAAGGAAAAGGAAGCAAGCAGAGAGTGGAGAGACCTTGTACCACCAAGAAAGCAGCACCAGGAGCAGAGCACGTCCTTTGGACCTGAGGTGCCTGTGCTGAGATGCTCCCAGACCAAGAGAAGACTGATAACAAGGACCTTCCTCCAGAGCCAACAGAGAGAGAAAGCCTTCCCCTGAAGCTGACGACCTGAATTTGGACTTCTAGCCTAACAGACTGTGAGAGAATAAATTTCTCTTTGTTAAAGCCATCCACTTGTGGTATTTCTGTTATAGCAGCACTAGAGGAACAAGACGTCAGGCAAGTAAGCCTTCTTGGACATCCAGTCAAGTTGAGCCTTCAAATGAATCTATTTCCAGCTGCCATCTGACTGCAACCACATGAGATACCTCTGAGCTGTCAACCAACCAAACCATAAGGAATAATAAATTGTTCTTTTAAGCCACTATGTTTTGGTGTGGTTTGTTACATACTAATAGATAATTAGAACATTCAGTTATGGAATGTACATAATAGTCCTTACCTTTATAGAAGTGTTTTGAAGTTATTGATATATGTGAAAGCATTTTTAAACACTAAAGCACTGTACAAAAATAAGTTAATTTCATTAAATAAAGTTAAAAATCTTATATTCAACAGGAGAGAGGTAGTGCTTTGCTTCTCTTACAAATACGTATTCCTAGTTCTCTGGTAGATAACATGAATCTGCATCTGACTGACACTCCACTGATTTGGTTCCTTCCTCTCAGGCATCCTCCAGGCAATCTATAAAACTGGCCTTATGACAGTCCTGCTACCTCAACAACACTATTATTTTCCAGCTTTGTATTCAAACACCCTAGCACTGTATTTCTCACCCCCACTCCTTCTCAGAAAAGACCCTATTCCTCTAACTGACCCTCAATTCACTCATCCAAGACAAAATGTAATCAGTTTGTGCCTCTGGCTAAATGTTCCTTCAATACTCACTGTTCCTCATCATGAGGTCTTGGGAAGTAGTATAGTATAGTGGTTAAGAATAGAGATACTGGGTTTGAATCCTTACTAGCTGTTTGACCTTGGACAAGTTAACCTTTTTTTGGCCTCAATTTTATCATATGTAATATGCTTAATATAGTGCCTGGCATGTTATAAGATCTATGTGTTACCTATTATTATACCACTTGGTTGCATTTTTTGTCAGATTAACTTGGCCGACCAACTCAGGTTGTATTAACAAAGCAATTATTCACATTTCAAAAGGCCAAACATATTTCACCTGACTTTCAAAAGTACTTTCATTATATTTCACAATGACTAGTCTACTCAATAAATGTGGCAAGATGAGGAACTTAATGTAAGACCTCAGTCTAACTATTCTTCCTGAGAAAATGACTATGAAAGATTTTTTGAAACTTAATTTCCCCAAGCCCCATAACAAGTCTTTTTAAAATCCAGCAATTCAGTACTTTTAGTGGAGTCAGTATCTATAGTATCAATGAACATCAAGTAAATATCTTATTCTTAGAATAATACTTATTTCTTTCAATTTCCACACATCTCCCTGATATGTCTTAATGTATTTCATATGTCTTAATGTACTCAAAAGTGTATGGGAATATCTTGATAATCTATATATTCACTAAAACGAAAATTATTCTAGGAGATAAATAACACTATTGGTAATTTTGCCAAGGCGTCAACTACAGAAAAATCTGGATTAGGAAAATTGTTTCTCCATGGGCTAAAAGACAAAACGGAACTAACGGAGAAAACATCTACTCAGACTCATTTATTGTAACCTTAAAATGTTTAATGGCAGTCTCTGGATTCAATAAAAAAGGAAATACGTGTATCAAACTAAAGGTGTCTTAGATCTTCAACCAAAGCCTTTTGCTGGTTTGGTGATGTGCATGCTTTTATCTGCTCGGTATTTTTTCTTGTGAGTGCCTACATTTTAGGGCTTTTTTTTAAAAGAAAAAAATGTGACTATACAGGTTTATCTTTTCTTTAAAAAAAAAAAAGCCCTAAAATGCAGGCACTCCAGTTTACTCTTGCCAGCATGCACCCAAAGGAAAAATTTGTACAGGCAGGGCCTCTAGAATCAGAGCTCTGAAAAGACTCTTAAATCAGCATATGGATTCAGGGAATTGGGGAAAGAGTCACTAAAGAGTTTGAGACAGCAGAGGAGGGCTGACGCACTTTTAATCACAGAAGAGTAAACAATAGTATAAAACCGTTAACAGCTCACCCAGTGGCTGTTGTCTTCCCCCAGACCTTAGCTTACCCTCTCCCACCCCCAATCCCTGCGTACCATTTAGTAAAGAAGCAGGGTCTCAGCAGCTGTTCCTGTCACTACCAGGTGGTAGGAAGGGGATCCAGCTAGGGGCCACAGCAGTCCTGGCCATCCATCCATGGTTCTCTGTTTCTATATAACTCCATCATGTGAAGTGGTCCAGTTCCAATGGAGAAACAGTGCAGAAACCTGGAGCTGAACTTGGCTACTCCATTCAGATGGTCCAGGGACTTAGGGCCTCAAGAGCCCTGGGCAATAAGGGAGGGGCTAGTCCAGAGCCAGCATAATTCAGGTCGCAGCCAGAACCTGGGACTGAGGTGGGGATAAAGGGGGACAGGCAAGGCCCACTAGGCCCAGTCCAGAATGCCCCGACCTAGGCAATGAACTTCATACATATGCACAAATGCACACATACACGCACACACACAGAAATATACCCACAAAGAGCAAATAACATTACTGAAAGGACTTGGAGACTATTAAATACAAAATGGCAGAGTTGTTTTAAAAAGTGAAAATATTTGCTTGATTCTCCTCAGTGCCTTGCAGTTCCCCTCATCACAGGAGTGTAGACATGAGGAGGCCCAAGAAGAGCAGGTTGCCAGTGGCCCTACAAGTCCATGTGTGCTGAAGTCCTCATACCAACCATCTTACTCCTCAGCCCAGTAGCTGCCTCCCATGTGACCATTCACCCGATTGGCACCATTCCTGGAGCTGCTGCCACACGAGCTTTTTGTGCTGGTAGTCACATCTTCTTCCTCTGAGCTGCTCTCCACATCACTGCGATCATCCTTTGACACCTGGGTGGGTTGGAGCCAGAGGCAGGAAAGGTGAGGACAGAGCTTTTCTGCAGAGAATCATAAACACACTGAGCCCACAGAGGCTATATTAGGGTACTACTCCCGATCTGGTCTACTTTCTGGTGACACCTGACTCAAAGTGCTGTATGAACTGTGGCTGTTTTGAGCTTCCTTTGTCTGTTTTCTGATTCTTTATTGTCATCTCTGATTTTCTTCTCTATGGAATAGAAGCTGCTTTGTAGGCAGGGTGTCTCTTTCAGGACCAGCGTAAGACAACTGAAATGATTCATTGAGTCTTCGGTTTAGCTCTGAGGGAAACTCCACATACCCTTTCTCCTCTTCCCACTCAAAGAATAAAAAAGGCCAACACAAAAGATACATGTGGTTGTCTTCATTGCTTCTATCCTCTGGTGGTTGTCGCCACTGCAGTTATTCATATTGGTTATCCTGAACTTTGCTTTACACCAAAGCTGATCCAAAACTGGGCCTCTTTCAGAAGTTCTACTATTCCTGTGCTCAACTATCAACATCCTATGACACCCTTTCCCCAAAACTCTCCCCTTTCCCAACAGCAAGCTCACTTCTCTTGTACAACTTCATCATCCCCAAGATACACAGTATGGTAAAAAGCAAAGTGGACTGGCAATCAGTGGGAAAAGAATCCCAGCCCTAATCATGCTACCATCTGTGAATCTTTACCTCTTAACCTCAGCTTTTTATTTTGTATTTTCAAACAAAGAGTTTGGCTTAGAGAAGTGTATTTCCAAATCCAAACTACCCTGCATATCAAGTAAAATATTCTAAATTCTCTACCATAGACTGCAAAAGTGAAAGAAAGGACGAGGTGAGAAGGGAACACAGCTACAATTGCTGTTGCCAAGGAATGGAACACTTGGTTACTTGATCTTTAGGAAATTTTCACTGGAGGGCAGTTATCTCTAGATTTGAGGGAAAGGGAGGCTCAAAAAAAAAAAAAAAAGAAAAAAAGACTCAACTCTTGCCTCAATTTAGGAAAAGAATCTGGTGGCTTCAACATCCGTCAACAAGGTCAGTAGAGAGGGCATGCTCTGAGACAAACACGGGACAGAAACGAGAGCAGGAAGGAAGAGAAACATATTCAGACAGACATGTTTCACTGAATACTAGAAGTACAGATACACTTACATGCAAGAGATGAAACTGTCCAGCTCCTGCCAGGCATACAGAAAAGGAAGGAGGTGAGAAAAGAGTGGAGAGTACAGAGCCTGGGTCTAATCCTTCCTGGATAGGTCACCTGGTCAGGAAAGAAAAGCAGAAGAGACGAGAGATGTCCAATAGCTACAGCAAGATGCATAGGCACACTGAGCAAGTTCTGAAACCAACTGCAGCCATAAGGAGTAATGACACAAGAGATCATATATGTCTAGGGAACATTCCATCCTTCTGTCTTAGAGTCACTGCCTCCTTCTAGCAGACCCTCTTCCCTTTGGGATTCTGTATTACTGAAGGCTGAGATCCCTCAGCTCTTGGGCCACACACAGTCTGACTGCTTTAGAACTAGCAAAATTCAGTTATTAGTTTTATCATAAAATGGCACCTCTCATTGTGCTTTTGGGTTCTTGGCACAGAGATGGGTATTTGAAAAGCTAAATACCTACTTCACTTAGACACTTGCCTCATACAGTAAAGGGGTGAGGCTGCTGCTTAGTCCTTTATAGAAACTGTACCATGAAACACCACAGTGTGATCATCTTCAGGTAGCTTTTGAACTATCATACCACCCTTATGTCAAACTAACAGCTCCACTTTTATACAGTTTATATGCTGTAGTTCTGCGTATGATTTCCTTTGAAACAAGGTTCTCATGCTAAACATGAAAATATGAAATCCACTGAAGTAGGTAGGTAGGGGTCAGGAAATGGTTGAGGCCATCTCCAAAACTCTTGACCCTACTCGCTCTTTAACAACAGCCATTCCTAAGGGACAGGAAGAAGTAGATCCTTCCTTTTGCATCTAAATCATGTCTTAAAAGACTAAACATCCATACTTATAGAAGAGGAGAAAACTCTGGAGCCCTAACCTTTTTGCTTGGCCTGATTCTATAAATGAGGCTCCCCAGGTTAGATGGAGAGAGAAGGTCTGCTGACCTCCCACAAAGTCCAGAGAAAGAAGCCATCTTTCATCCTCACCTTTCCTCGGATCAAAGCTTTGAAAGCAATTCGCGCAATTAGGTAGGACCAGATGACATGCAGAACCTGTAGGATCAGGAGAAGGCCATTGAAGAGCCACCAGGAGGGATAGGGCCCGATCATCTCCCAACTCTCAAAGAGGGTCGTGTTCAGAATCCTAGAAGGGGGAGGCCAATAGTCAGATTCTAGAGTCAAAGCTAGGCAGACAGGGATGAAGCTCAGTTCCCTGGAAAGCAGAGCCCTGTGTGTGTTTTCCCTCACAGCTTATATCAGTTGAAGTTCCAGGAATATTCATCCACAGTGAGAAAGGAATAAAGAAAGGAAGCCTATGGAGTTTTCTATCTTTAGGGACAAAGAAAGATCTCAATTTTAGGAACTGATGGATTAAGTCTTATTAATTACTTTACATATGCAGCGTTTTATGAAATTGGGACAGCAGCAGGATCACAATCCTAGGTATTACTCGGATCCTCAGAAGCATAGCTGATATACCCTCAGACTAAGCAAAATCTCCAACCCACTGAGTTACTGGCTTGTACCATTATGAGTATAGGAGAGAGAGGTTTGTGAGTACGTGTGTATTGGTCAGGGTGGAAAAGAGGGTATAGAGCAGGGATATAGGCAAGAAGAGTCTGAGAATTTTGTGATCACTGCGAAGGAAGGCAAAGGAATTACTTTAGCATAAAACGAGGACTATTCCTCAAAGATGAGTCGGGAAAGCCAGAAGCCAAGTGAGTTGAGTGCTCTGAGTCTGGATCACAACCTTGCTAGATAGAAACGCTGTGCAAGGCAGCTGAGATCCTGAAAGAGTCCATCGATGGTCAGGTTAGGCCAAGGAAAAAGCAGGGCAGTAGAGTTCTTGGAGTTCTCTTCCCTAAATTGCCAAAAGGAATCATTAGCTACACATCTATCACAGTTCAACAGCCCTAGCACTTACCAGAATGGATAGATTCCTAGACGAGTGACCACAAAAACAGCACTGAAGATCACAAACAAAGTGTCGCAGAGCCTCTGATACTTGGCATAATTGGCCAGCTTGGCTGCCTGGAGAAGGGAATATAAGAATTGAGTGAGGGGAGAATGCCAGTTCTCAAATAGGAAGGGAAGGAGAGAAAGAGAGGAATAATGAGAAAAGAGGGGCTGTATCTCACCTCCAGCAGGAAGTCTGAGGCATCATGTAGACACATGACCAGAGTTCCCACTCGAACCATGTTGTTGATATAGGAGAAGGTGATGAGTCCAATGGTGGCCAAGTGATGCACAAACATGATCAGGAAGTCCTAGGAAGGAATGAAATCAAAGAGGCAGGTAAAGGCAAGGTTATAGACATGCTAGTCAAACCAATGATCTCTGAGGATCATACTCCATCCCTTAGAGGTTCCATTCTGCTTAGACTCTCCCTTAGGTAGCCACCTAGAATTTAACCCAACACTCCCTACAGAGCCACTGACCTTGAGTCTATGTTAATATAGCTCAAAGCAGAGAAAAGGGCAATTTTCTTTGATAGTTGCAAGCTATGTAGAGCATGGATGCTGAGCTGATACTTATGAATAATTACCAGGTGGTAGTGGGACACACAAGCCTTCGATATTCCTAAGATTCTAAGATTCTTCTGCTTTGAGGAAAGAAATTTCAGTCAAAGGGTTGTAACAGAAAGAAGAGATCTGTGGAAGGGCAAAGCTAAACCCTTACAAAAAGTTTCAGAAGAAATGCACATTAGCTAAATAATCTGAATTACTGGAGGCACTTCCTGCTTTCAGATTTAAAGCTCTCATTTCCTCTTGGGTTCAAATACCAGGGTTAGACCTGGGGAAATCTCTACCTGAGTTATCAAACATATAATAATAAATATCTCTCAGTCCAGTGAGGGACATAGAGTGGGAGAGAGCACGTGAATTAGGATCAGAGACACAAGGATGAAAAGCCTGTGCTTTCCACATAGGCAGATACAATGGTATTAATAAGATCTCTTAATAAGTAAGTCATTTCCAACTCTGTTACTATGTGAGCAAGTCAATTCACTTCTCTGAATCTTTGTTTCCTAAACAATAGCAGGAAAAAGATAAACTAAATCATCTAAAACCCCTTAAAGCTGACATTCTTTCAGAAGTGGGGTAACCAAAAAGGAGAACAGAGCAAGAGTCCCAGTGCCAAACAAAGCCAGATCTACCTTTCCTGGATGCAGACCTTTTTCTGAGTCAGGTTTTTCTATCCCAAGTTCTGAGTAGTTTCCTAAGCCTTAGATATATAAGAACCTTGAAGAAGAATAAGGAAAAGAGTAGGCTTCTTAACTGGCTGTCTTCACTCTGGGTTTCCCTGAATGCCTCACATATGCTTTATCAAGTCTCATTTCTGGGAACATTACAAAAAGCTGATAACCCCATCAAACCTATTCTCTCCCACTTTTGTGGTTCCAGTCAGGGCAGAGAACCCATCACAAAGGTAGTTACTAGAAAGGAGGATGCAATTAGTTGAGGAGTTAAGGGAGCCAATGTCCTTACCTTTCTTTTAATGTCTGTAAACTGAGAAAACATAAGAGACCAATAGAAGGCCAATTCCATGATATAATAGTAATAAAGCCCACTTGTGAGAAGCTGGAAGAAAGAAAAAAGTAGTTACACCTTTGACTACACCAGCAAGTCAGAGTCAATTTATCTCTGCAATCTTCTCTTTTTTGAAGGACCAATATCCAAAATGATTAGAGACATCCTTCCTCCCCATTATCTACCAAGGTCTGCAATAGCTAGCAGACTCTGGATTTGGTGTGGAGACTTAAACCTCCTCCCTCTGTCCTTCCTCATACAAATCTTTGGCTTTCATCTTTTAGAGATCAGATAAGGTTAACACATACTATGGCACAACCAAATCAGTGTGTCTAGAATTCTGGGCAATTAGTGCTTTTCAGGGGATTAAATATACTCAGGCCTTCCCCTCTTTTACCCTTTTAGCAGTTCTCTCGCATTTTTCTAGTATAGCTTAGAACAAAGATACTCTTAAGGGGACTTCAAGTTATCCTTGATAAAAGGGATATTCAAACCAGAAAGCACCTCTTAAGAATGTGCCAGGAAGCTGCTTTTTTCCCCAACCCAATGAGGGTGAATATAAAGAACAGCCTAGAACAAAATGATAACTGAATTTCACTGCTATGGTGGCCCCAGAAATAGACACTTTGGAAATATGACTTAAAGGGACTCAGCCTTAATCCCTTAAGAACACCAAGGAAATGTGCCATCTGTCCTGGGACTGGCATGCACTCTCCCCCACCCCACCACACACACATACAAGGCCCATCTTGAAAGGGCTCAGATCCTACCTGATATGGATAGCTATGCCAGCACTGTCGGGTGTCCCAGAACCAAGGTGACTAAGAGAAAACAGATAATTCAGGTCAGCCTTCAGGATTCTCACCTGGTTCCAAATCTGCCCTGTATAATCCCCTTCTCTCTAGGCTGGGGGCAAAAGAGAGATGGGGAATAAGAAGGAATCTCCCTTGCCAGATTTTAGGGATCCCTAAAGGATCAGTAAACACCTGACTACCAACCAAAAGGTTGGCAGTTCAAGAAAGGCCTGGCGATCTACTTCCGAAAAGTCACAGCCTTGAAAACCCTACGGAGTGCAATTCTACTATGCACATACAGGGTTGCCATGAGTTGGAATTGACTTGAGGGCAACTAGTAGTAGGTAATAAAGGATCAGTAACTGGCTTGATTTTTCTTCTAGAACAAGAAAGTGTTAGTATGAATAAAATAATCATGCTTTGAGGTAAATAAAAGCAGGGAAAGAGCTCTTGGGTAGTTTTAGGAAACATCACCACCAGGGATAAAAGAAATGGGGAGACAGGAAGACATGATTCTATTTGACAACAAAGAGATTTCCATGCCAAACCAAAGATTCAAAAGTCAAAAAGTAATAATCTATAACGGAATTTCAATTATGTCTTTTTTTAAAAGAGTTTAACACAATTTATTTTATACTTAAATAATCAACTAGGTCATCCAGTGTGTGTGGTTTTTCAAACATATGTCATTAGAGGTACGTGTCAATGAATGTTGATTTTATATAATCAACAATTAAAGAATTTCACTAATCAATTATGTCTTTTAAGGAATTTTCCATTTCATCGAAGGTGTTAAATTATTGCATTCAATTGTTCATAATACTGTCTTATTATCCCTTCAATGTTATAGGATACGTAGTGATAATCTCTTTTTCCCTGACATTATAATTTGTTTTTATCTTGATCAGTCTTGCTGGATAGAGGTTCATGAATTTTTTTTAAATTTTTTCATTGTACTTTAGATGAAGGTTTACAGAACAAATAGTTTCTCATTAAACAGTCAGTACACATATTGTTTTATGACACTGGTTAACAACCCCACAACATGTCAACACTCTCCCTTCTCGACTTTGGGTTCCTTATTACCAGCTGTCCTGTCCACTCCTGCCTTCTAGTCCTTGCCCTGGGCTGGTGTGCCCCTTTAGTCTTGTTTTGTTTTATGGTCCTGTCTTATCTTTGGCTGAAGGGTGAACCTCAGGAGTGACTTCATTACTGAGCTAAAACGGTGTCCGGGGGCCATACTCTCGGGGTTTCTCCAGTCTGTCAGGCCAGTAAGTTTGGTCTTTTTTTATGAGTTAGAATGTTGTTCTACATTTTTCTCCAGCTCTGTCCGGGACCCTCTATTGTGATCTCTGTCAGAGCAGTCAGTGGTGGTAGCCAGGCACCATCTAATTGTACTGGACTCAGTCTGGTGAAGGCTGTGGTAGTTGTGGTCCATTAGTCCTTTGAACTAATCTTTCCCTTGTGTCTTTAGTTTTCTTCATTCTCCCTTGCTCCTAAAGGGGTGAGACCAGTGTAGTATCTTAGATGGCCACTCACAGGCTTTTAAGACCCCAGATGCTACTCACCAAAGTAGAGTACAGAACATTTTCTTTATAAACTATGTTATGCCAATTGAGCTAGATGTTTCCCGAGACCATGGTCCCCATAGCCCTCAGCCCTGTAATTCAGTCCCTCAGGGAGTTTGGGTTCATCCATTTTATTTTATTTTATTCTTATTGTGCTTAAGGTGAAAGTTTACATACAAAAGTTTACACACACATTGTTTTGTGACCCTAGCTGCTATCTGGGTTCATCAATTTTAAGTGCAACTTTCAAAGAACCAACTTTTGGCTTTGTTAATTTCCTCCATTGTTTGTCTAATGCCTATTTCACTGTTTTCTGCTCTTAGTTTTATTATTTCTTTTCTTTGCTTTGCTCTTCTTTTTCCAGATCTTAAAGTGGAAACTCTGATTACTGATTTTATACCTTTTTTCTTTTCTAATATAAATATTTAAAGCTAAAAATCTTCTTCTAAGCATGCTTTAGCTGTATCCCCAAGTTTTGATATGTTACATTTTCATTATCATTCAATTCAAAATATTTTTAAATTTCCCTTGTGATTTCTTCTTTGACCCATAAGTTACTTAGAAGAGTGATGTTTAACTTCCAAGTATCTTCTAGATATTTTATTGTTATTGATTTCTAATTTAATTTTCAATATGGTCAGAGAACACATTCTGTAAGATTTCAATCTTCTGAAATCTACTACTTATTTTATGGCCTAGCATATAGCTTACTTGGTGGATGTTCCGTATGTACTCGAAAATTATACGTATTATTCAGCTGTTGGTGTAGTGTTCTATACATGTTAATCAGGCCAAATTGGCTGACCAAAAAACACAAAAGCCAAACCCACTGCCGTGGAGTCGATCTCAACCCATAGCGACCCTGTAGGACAGAGCAGAACTGCCCCATAGGGTTTCCAAGGAGCGGCTGGTGGATCTGAACTGCTGACCTTTTGGTTTGCAGCTGAGCTCTTAATTACTGTGCCACTAGGGCTCGAACTGGCTGACAGTGCTGTTCAAATCTACATGTTTAGTGATTTTGTGTGTGCGTCTAGTTAGTTAATCAATTATCGAGAAAAGAACATTAAAATCTCCAACCATAAGTGTGTATTTGTCTGTTCTCTTAGGTCTGTTTCAGTTTTTGCTTCACATATTTTGAAGCCTCAATTATATCCTTTAGAGAGAAAAAACAGTGTGGTACAATGAAAAATAAACCATATGGAATCAAGAATCAAAAAGCCTAAAATTCTTCTGATACTTAACTGACAACTGAAAGGCAGAACTAACACCTATCCTACGCACTTCAAAAGATTATTGATTTCATTTCTGCAACTGTCTCCTCCTTGAAAGAACAAGATTTTTGTCAAGTGCTTTGCAAACTATCAAGTGCTATACTGATTTACTTATTACTACTATTATTAGCATTATTTAGAGGAGAAACAGTCATGAGGTTATTGAAATCAGACCCCAAACAGAAGACAATCTATTTAATGTAAAAACCTGGGCTATGGGCACTGCAAAGAAAAACTTCAGGGAAAAATAAAGATCTAAACATATTCAACTCTAATCTCTAGAGACCTAGGCAGGATTAGAATCCAACCAAAGGACCAGAGAAAGTTCAGACTTACCGACCAGAGAAATCTAATTCCGTAGCAGAATATACATAAATAAAATGTGAATCTCCACCTGGATGGGAGAAAGAGTACAGGTTAGACAAATATCACTCAAAAGAAAATCTGAGGCTGGGGAAGTCAAGACAGCATATTTAGGGGTAAGACAGGTACCGGTGAGAAACAGGATAAGTTCCCAGAATAGGGATAAATACTGTTACCTAAAAAGCCAAAGACAGAGTCATATTCCAGTCTCTGTTTAAAATACATTGCCACAAGTGTTTAACAGCTTTAATCTTATACTTGTTCAGCTTTTCTATCAGATTCCCTGATGATACTGTCTAATCTTTTTCTCTGCACAACAATGACCAATACAGTGCTGTTTCTCATTAGTAAAAACTTAATGAAATGACATATAGTATTTCCCTGAAAAGGGATGATCCCCACCAAAATGTCAGTTTAGAGCAAGCTAGTACTATCTCTATCAAGGTGTACAAGGGTATATATATCTACCTACATAAATGCAATTATAGGAATTCTCTCCCAATCTATTTGGGAAAGGGGGACAAAACGGAATTACACTTAGCTTAGTGGCAAGCATGTCCAAGAAACTAGCGGTGACCAATCTTCCAGTTCTCTTCCTGTAATAGAGTTAACCCTCACATCCTGTGACAGTTGTCCTAACAAGAGAAGTGACTTCCAAAAGGAAAACCTCAGTCCAGTCATATCCCCAACCTCCTCCCCATTTTCCCACCTCCTTCTGCACACCTACATGCTTTCACAGAATTTAGTGAGCGTGGGGGGCTTGTCCTGATTCCTCCGATGGCGAAACCAGCATTGGATTTTTCGGACATCCCAATCCAGTTGCTTTGACAGGCCCTCCAGCCTTTTCTCATCAGGATACTGCAGATGTATGGCCAGAGTAAGAACATTCCCTTTCCCCTCAAGCCTCTCATTAAATCCTGGAACTAGCTGACTGGCAAAGGGGCTATAACGACTATAACCACAGTGGCTTAAGTGATGTTCATGTTGCCAGGTTTCATCCCAAAGTCATTTTTTGTAAGAAAAGGTCCCATTTCACACTTGAGGACCTTTACTGCTCACCTATACACATCCTTGTTTGTTTTTCTCCCTCCAGCCCAAGCTGAGTGAAAATGGGTATTAAAAACCCAAGCTGCAAGGATTATTAGGACCAACCTCATCTTGTTTATACAACTAGGCAATGACAGAAGCTGGAGTAAGGGGGGAAAAAAAAAAAATTAAGAAACATGTTCGTGTTGGGGGCGGGAGGGTGGGATGGTGTGACTAAAACTCAAAGGTATGTGAACTTGACATATTTAGGGACCCTGGCCCAAAGGTATTTCCCTGATGGGATAAAGTTCTCCTTATAGCTATATGAACTACCCAAAAGTGAAAGATCATCCCATCCTATTCTTATCCTTAAAGATAACTGCTCTCCATCCTCCCCCACCATATGGGGCAATCCCTCATGTGAATTTTCCTGTTTACTTGCCCACTTACCTTGGTAATAGACATGAACACCTTTTCAAGGATGGCATTAGGTTCAGCCTGATAAAGACCACTGTCCTGGATGCCAACATGGAGAGCACAGGGTTTGGCAATAAACCTGTAAGGAAGAAAACCCAAAGGCCAATTCTAAATACGGTTTGCTAAGCATGAAGGAAAGACCCTGATTAAGGAACTGACAGGAAGAAAAGGGGAAACACTGGGCTGGAAGGCAGGACTTTTTGATTTGGTCCTGGATTCTGCCACTGACTCACTTGATAACTGACCTGTTTAAGACATACTGAAACATAAACTCTCTATTTTTCCCTGGCTTCTCTATCACATCTTGAGCTTTAGAGTCAGAAGGATCTAGATCCAATTATTATTCTACCATTTAATACCTGTATGAGTTTGGACAAGTTATTTAAATCTCTCTGAGCCTCAGTTTTCTTCATCTATAAGATAAAGACAGTATCAACATCTTTGCTATTCAACATATGATCTACCAACCAACAGCATTACTGGCATTTCCTGGAAGCTTATTAGAAATGTATAATCTTGAGCCTCATCCTAGACCTACCAAATCAGAATCTGCATTTTAACTAGATCCTGGGGTGATTCATCTACCCATTGAAATGTGAGAAGCACTGGTCTACATCAGAAGAATCATATAAGTATTCTATTAGAAGATGTATGTGAAAGACCCTGGGCACATGGGAAGTACTTAATAAATGGTAGTTTTCCTTACTTCGAAATACCAAGAAGGTCTTAACTGGCAGGAAAAGCAGAACTGAGAGTGAGCACTTCCTAAATAAACATCCTAGATTATGGTCATCTTCCTGCCTAATCGAAGGATTATGGAAATACTTAGAACTTTCAGGAGTCCCAAAAAAAGAAATCAGGAAGCTGGAAAGGGTGAGAAGAAAATTACCTATTAGCAATCAATTCTAGTCCCAGATTTACCACTAATAAGTAGTATGAACTTGGTCAAGCAACTTTTTGGGTCTCAGTTTCATCATTAAAATAAAGGGTTATACTAGATGATTTCTAAGATTTTTTTCTGTATCTAAGATTTTATGATGCTGTCATTGGCTGTAATTAATTTCTAACTTTTGGATCTTTGAAAATTGAGGAACCATTCCTTGGTTCTTCATGAGAGATCTCACTCTTCCCCACAACCAGAGATTTTTGTGAATATCAGTTCTAGGAGAAGTTCTGTAAGTCAAACCAGTTTTAGCCCTTTCAGCATCTCATGGAGTCCCACGATAAAAATATAACTGGGAGGTATAAGATGGAGTGTTCTTGACCTATTTTCTTGATCTGCATTTGAATTCAGAATTTATTATCTGTAAGGGAGGAAGTAAGAATTAGAAACTTTATTATCTTCCTCTATGAAGACTTCTTTTATCACCAAAGTTCCTGAGCCACAGAGAAACATTTATTCAGATGAAAAAGTAAGCCATATCTGTAACCTCTAAAAGGGAGCCACATTTACAGAGATTGTACAAGAGTTCCATTCAAAGGCCAATGTTAGTAGATACCTTAATTTACACTTACTGATACTTTCTTCTGTTTCAATAATGTTTTAACCCCCAACTGCTGTTTAAACTCCTTGTGAACACAGATAATGTACTGCTTTTGTATTCAAAAGTTCTGCACTCAGTAGTTGCTCAGTAACTGACAAATGACAGATGTAGCGAATCCCACTCTTCCTCTATTGGAGTTCCATTTGGACCCAGGATTGATCAGCCTCCAGAAGAGTAACTAAGGCAGTCATTCTTTGCTGTTGAGCTGGTGCCATGTCAGAGATTTAAAAAACACTGAATCATCTCTCTATCTCCTCCCATCCAAATAACAGTATAAGATAACAAAAGCAGAAAACAGCCTTTCCAATTCCTACTCTTACTCCCTAGCCCAGACCTCTTCTTCAGTCCAGAGGCAGTTTTGTGATTAAAACTCAGGTACTGGAGTCAGATTTTTACTAGCTGAGAAATCTTGTGAAAGTTACTCACCTATAGGGTTGTTTTAAAGATGAAATGGCATGATACATGTAAAAATGCCTAGCCCAGTACCTGATACTTAGTAAACATTAATTAAAAAGTAGCTATTATTATTTTCACCTGAAACAGATTATTTCAGTCTGGGTACTCTCTGATACCTCTGGCAGAAGGTGAGAAGAACAAGAAATCTCTCATCCAGCAGGGGCAAGTCTGTACCCCGCCTTATCTGGGTGAAGCCAAGATAATTTTATTACCTAAACCTTGGAGTTAACTTAATATCCTAGAGTTGTTTTTAGTTCACATTCCACCCTTATTAGTTCAGAGTTCAGTGAAAGACATAAAGATATTGGCATCTAGTCAGTTCCAGCTGTACAGACCCTGAGGATATTTATTTATCTGACAAATATTTAACTAAGCATCTATTTTATGCTGACACGAAGCTTTATATTTTCCGGACCAAAAATAAGGATGTCATTTGAAAATAATTTTTTTTATTTGTGATAAAATTTTAAATATGTAAATTTAGGTATGCATTTAATGAATTATCTTAACGAAGAAAGGAAAATTATCTGAAATCAAAACTTTGAGAAAGTCCAGGATTAACCACACATTTCTTCTACATCAATCAACTGGCATTTGTATTTAACTTACACAATAGGTACCTAGACTGATTTGATGCACTGAATTGATGATTTGAATTATGGTGTTGGCAAAGAATATTGAATATACCATGGACTCCAGAAGAATGAACATACCTGTCTTGGAAGAAGTACAGCCAGAATGCTCTTCAGAAGCGAGAATGACAAGACATCATCTCACGTACTTTGGACATATTATCAGGAGAGACCAGTCCCTGGAGAAGGACATCATGCTTGGCAGAGGGTCAGCAAAAAAGAGGAAGACCCTCAATGAGATGGACTGACACAGTGGCTACAATGGGCTCAAACACAGCAACAATTATGAGGATGGTGCAGGAATGGGCAGTGTTTCTTTCTATAGTACAAAGGGTCGCTGTGAGTTGGAACTGACTGGATGGCACCTAACAACAACAGGCTGGCAAAACTCCAGACAAGGAGCCTAGCACTCATCCTTTTTGCTAGATCAGCACTTCTTAAAGTGTGGTCTGGAGACCCTTAAGAATCCCCCAAGACCCTTTCAGGTCTGCAAGGTTAAAACTAGTTTCATAAAATTTCTATTATTTTATAGCAATTATTTTCTTTCTCTCATTCTCTCATGAGTGTACCATGGAATTTTCCAGAGGTTACATGACATGAGATACTGCAACAGAGTGACTGCAGAAGCTGATATGAAAATAAGTTGCCAGATATTAAAGACATTTGCAAAAAAGTAAAATAGTGCTACTCCTCTCATTAATTTTTTTGCTTTGGAAAATAGTTATTTTTCATAAAAGTGTTATATTAACATGTATTCAGTCTGTTATTTTTAATGAATTAATATACTAAAATTTTTTCCATTTTAATTTCTAAGACAGTAAATACTGACAAATATTATCCACAGAAACAAAAACTCTTTAAGATTCTTGATAATTTTTCAGAGTATTAAAGGAGTCCCAAGATTACAGTTTGAAAACTGCTGCTGTGCTGTAAGATACTAAGAAATCAAATTCTATCTTGTGATGTTTTGTCCTGTTTGGGATCAATTTACTGCCCAAATTTAAGAATAATTTATCAGACCAGACCTCCCTGTGCCTGCAGGTTTGAATAAGTAGGCATTTAGTGGTGTATAAAGGAAAACTACTCCTTTCTATTGGCCACAGGAATACGAGTCTAGTGACCCAAGCAGATGGTAATATATCTGTCTTGCTTTGTAGAGATCATTTCATTCTGCCCTTTTCCTGCCCTCCAGATACATGGCAGCAGCTGACCTAAACCTGGGTTAATTAAGATGAAATTAGCTACTGCTTTGCTTTTTCATACAAAAGACATGGGATTTACTAACAATTCTATTTCTGTGATTCATAGCAACATAACTGACAGATAAGAAAAAAACAAATAAATTTGAAGGTCTAGATCAAGCTTCTCAACTGATGTAACATGGCAAGTAAATGGACTATATTTATGCTGAGCTATTGATCTTAGCCCTCAGGGAGGTCCATGGGACCTGGGGCAGCCAGAAACCGTTAGTCTGTAGCTTCTGGCCTCATGTACCCCACTGTGTAATGCAGATATTATTTTCTACGTGCAGCAACATGATCAGGTTGGGAAGCACTGGCTTAGATCAATTTCTGGAAAATTATAAACTGCCAAAATAGACATAAAAAGGCCAATTACTATCAAAGAAACTGAAAGAGGATATGGGATGAAGAGGAGGAAAATATAGTAAGAGAAAGGCCATATACAGACTGATGAGGATGGTGCATCGTTAAGTGAAGCATATTGAGTGACTTCAGTATCTGAACCTGACTGCTACCCACCACACACCCACACATACACACCCACCCACACACTCAGTCACACACACAGTCCAGGAGAGAAGATAACTGAGATGTTGAAATAAAGATTCTCAGAGCTCCCAAAAAACTCTGCTGAGAGGATTTAATTCTTAGGTAGAAAAGCAGCATTTGAAAATCCTCTCCTCAGACATACGACCCCAAAGACAAATGCAGAGTCACAGGAAACAGATTCAGAAAGTCCTTTCCCTTTACAACTGTGTTCTTAATAAGCCAAGCCACATTCCTTTTGGGTTTCTTTTTCCTCTGCCTTCTCCTAAAAGATGGAGTTTCATTCTATTACAACAGAGGGTCTCAAAGTAAGGTCTGGGGACCCCTGAGAGGCCCTGACACATTCCCAGAGGGTCCACAAAATCCAAACTATTTCCATAATATTAAGACATTATTTGCCTTTTTTTTTTTTTTTTTAACTGTGTTGACATTTGCAATGATCATGCAAAGCAATGGTGGGTAAAACTTATAGCACCTTAGCACAAATCAAGGGAATGGCACCAAATTGTACTAGTAGATATGTTCTTCACTGCTATGTCTTCTCAGTTAAAAAAAAAAAAAAAAAAGCCAGTTTCACTTAAGAATGTCTTTGATGAAGCAGTACAAATTATTAGTTTTATTAAATCTCAAACCTTGAGTACATTTTAAAAAGTATTCCATGATGAAATGGGAAGTACACATAAAGCACTTCTGCTGCATACCAAAATATATGGTTGTCTCGAGGACAGGCACCTGTGCGACTGTTTAAGTTGTGAGCTTAACTAAGTTACTTTTTTCATAGAACACTAACAGACAAACTAAGGTTATTCAGATCTGGGTATTTTGCAAACATTTTGTCAAAAATGAACGAAGTGAGCCTGTCACTTCAAGGGAAACAATTCGCAGCATTTGTTGCCAATGATAAAATTCAAACTTTCAAGTGAAATTAGTATATTAGAAAGCTTATGTCCACCTGTGAGCCTGACAACTTCCCAATACTTCAAGATTTTTCTGAGATTGGTTACGATGAGATTAACTAGTATTATTTTTTTAATACTGTATAATGAAATTTGAAAGATCTGTATAACTCAGTGACCCAGCATTTTCCATATGACTGATACATGATATCCATTCAAAGTGCAAGAGAGACTAAATGTAACAAAAAAAGAATGAAAACTCATTGACATGGTTTCAGATTCTACTTTGCAACTAACCTTTAAGAAACTATTCGTTGTGTTTTGGTGTAGTATCAAAGAATTATCAAACTACCTGAAAGAGCTATTAAAATTATTTCCCTCTTTTCAGTGACAAAGGAGCCCTAGTGATGCAGTGGTTAAGTACTTGGCTGCTAACAGGAAGGTCGGTGCCTCGAACCCACCAGCTGCTCTTCAGGATAAAGATGTGGCAGTCTGCTTCTATAAAGATTACAGCCTTGGAAACCCTACGGGGCAATTCTATTCTGTCCCATAGGGTCACTATGAGTCGGAACAGACTCGATGGCAATGGGTTTGGTTTCAGTGACATATCTATGTGGGGCCAGCTTTTCTTCATGTTCTTCAAACAAAACAACATACCACGAGACTGAAAGCAGAAGCCAGACAGGAGAATCCAGCTGTCTTCTATAAGGCTAGACATTAAGGAGATTTGCAAAAACATAAAATCAATGCTATTCTTCTCACAAAGTATTTTTTCTTTTTAAAAATATTTTTTCAAAAACATGTTGTTTATGTTAACATATAATGGATGTGTTGTTATTCTTAAATGAATAAAATACATTTTTAAATGTCTCAATTTTAATTTAATAGCTCTTTGGGGTTCTCGATAATTTTTAGGAGTGAAAAAGGATCCTCAGAACACATAGTTTAAGAACTACTGAATTACATTATCACTGTTTGTGTTGGTGACTCCCAAACATTAATTGTTCTGTATACTCCTTATTACATATGCATCCATGCCGATGTATTTTTCTGAGTAAATTCTTTTTTTTTTTAATTTTATTTTTTTGTTGTTGAGAATATACCCAGCAAAACATACACCAATTCAACCGTTTCTACATATACAATTAAGTGACACTGATTACATTCTTTGAGTTGTACAACCATTCTCACCCTCCTTTTTTGAGTTGTTCCACTTCCATTAACTCACTGCCTCATAAGGTTCCTATCTAATCTTTCCAGTTATTGTTGTCACTTTGATTCCACATAGACAGTTCTTAAAAGAGCATAATGCTCAAGGCAGACATATTCTACTAGCTAAGCTAAACTACTGTTTGGTTTTAAGAAGACTTCAGGGGATATTTTTGGCTTAAGTTTTGAAGATTATCTCAGGGTAATAATTTCAGGGGTTCATCTCAGTGGTTCATACACCCACCTTGGCCCCAGGAAGTCTGGAGTCTGAATAAACTCTTAAGAGAATAGGATTTCTCCTGATGAAAAGGGGGAAAGCGCGGAACAGAATTCCAAATTCTCATGGAATCCAGACTTTTTGGAGCATAGAGGCTGGATGAACCTCTGAAACTGCTGCCCTGAGGTAATCCTTAAACCTTAAACCAAAAACATTTGCTGAAGTCTTCTTTGAACAATTACTAAAGAATGTTTGCCTTGAGAATCTGTGGTGGAGTGAATTAGTTAATACGGCCCTTCTAGCCATGGTCTTGTGACTCCCACAAAACGACTGGGTAGGACTATGCAAATAAGGTGCTTGTGGCTCACAAGGGGATTGGACAGCTTACTAATAATGCAAATAAGATGCAAAGAACCCTTGCAGGGATGGGACCATGCAAATAAGGTGCGTGATATCCTAACAAGGGGCTTCGTCAGTTTTGCCATCTCACTAGGCTTAAAATGAGCCAATCCCAGAGGTTAGGAAGGGGACTTCACTACCATCAAGAAGAGCCAGGAGTGGAGCGTGTTCTTTGGATCTGAGGTCCCTCTGCAGAGAACCTCCTATGCTCAGGAAACAGAGATTTGTAACAGCAACCTGTAACACTGAAGACAGTGAGAGATGGCACGGCAGCAATGAGAAGTGGCAGCAAGCACGGAAGAGCCCAGTGGCAGAGAAATGGTGGCAGCAGAATCAGGAGACTGGAGCAAGATGGAGTGGTGGGCTTCCTGGCCCACGGAGTGAAAGAGCTGAAAGCCTTTGGGCAGGAGGCTTCCTGGTGGAATAGGGTGCCGCTGGGCATTTGTCCACAGAGCTGAAGAGCTTTGTAACACTTGCCTGAGCAGCGTAGGGGCCAAGGGGCTGAGAGCCAAGAAAGAAGCCTGACTGTGCGCACAGCCAAGAAGCTGTCCTGTCTGAAGAACTGTATCCT